TGGTTTGCTCAGAGTTCAGGTGGCACGAAGGTGGCTGTTTTGCCTTGTACTCAAGATACCAGATCGGTGAGGTATGTCTGAGGTGATGTTTTAGTACGAGGTTTTATTAGTTAAAAATGACAGCGTTTCTGCTATTTAAATTTAACGTGAAAGCGTGGTAGGCTGCTTGACCTCCTTCTGCCCTGTTTCTTTGGTTTTGTTTGGGTTGACTTTTTTTCTGAGAGTGACCAAGCCAGTTATTAGCTCCAAAATATAAGTAAATAGGCTGGAAGTTTGTAAATGCAAATGGATGTGCCTTTATCTTGGTATGTATTTCACCTTTATATGTGAATGTATGTATCTCCACATATAAATGTCTATATTTATAAAACAGAAGTTAAAATACAGTTTTTAATGCATTCAGGTATCATGACTCTTGCTTTATTGAAAATTATGCAGGCAAATTTGTTAAAGGTCCCTTCTGACCCAAACCATTCTATGATAATATCTCATCACCTTGCCTTTTTTTTTTAGTGCTTGACCTGTAGTACAGAAATCTTCCAGAATGCTGGAATCGTACGTAACTCCTATTTTGATGAGCTATGTGAATCGCTACATAAAGAACCTGAAGCCTTCGGATCTGCAGTTGTCACTCTGGGGAGGAGATGTTGTGCTTAGTAAACTTGAGTTGAAGTTGGATGTGCTTGAACAGGTATGCTATGTTTGCAGTAGTTACAGTCTATATGTTTGATTTAAAAGAAGTTGACTAAATAATTTGCTTTGGTCTGCATAGATAGATGATCATGTAATACTCACTGGTTTACTTTTACTTTTTATGCAAGTCCGTTATTCCTCTGCATTTAGTTATTCTTGCATTAATTCCATGCCATTTGTTTAGTAATGAATAGTAATTCTTTGCACACTCTATAGGTTATGGGGTGTGAAGAGAAAGTCTTTTTTGTGGACGTGTTTCTTCTTTCAGTAATCATCGTTTTACAGTAGGAACATTAATTAAACTGATTTTCCAGTCTTATTTACTAATTACATCTAGTAACTAATCTAAAATGTCACAAAGTAAACTAGGATCTATTTTTAATTATGCATATTAAACACAGATTTGTGTTTTCTGTATTGCTTTATGATTCCAGTTTTATCTAAACTTAAGAGTAACCGATTTGTGTGGATTAGATCAAGGGGTCTGTATGACTTAGCCTTAAAAAGACAAGCTTGATGAAATAAAACACTTGATGTAGAATTTGGAGCTTGCTGTTAAGTCTTGGCTCAGGGACTATTTCCTTCTGTGCTTACCTGACTTGATAAATTAAGGAGTTGAGTGTGAGACAGATAAAGCTGTTTTCTGTTGTGCATGGTGTAGTGAGTCTTAGCTATGAGCCCTGTGTCCAGATGCAGTGCAAATGAAGAGGCTGAGGGAAAAGCAGCAAAAAATAATGTGAGAGTTAGGCAATATGGCAATTGCAAGAAAAGTAAAATAGTCAAGGAATGTGTTTTCAATTTTGGATAAAATGAGACAAGTGTCACAGATTAGGGCTGGGCCGGCCACTGAATGTGGACAGATGCTCTCTAACCCTCTCTTGCCCCCCAAAATGGGAACGAAAAGGGAACGAGGCAGAGAGACTTACACGTTAGAAAAGAGAACTAAAATGACTTTAATGAAACAATAATGGAAATATTGAGTGAGATGATAAGAATAAAGAACTATATACAACTATACATAAGCCCGATATTGAACCTGACTCCCCCTTGATGGCAATCCCTACTGATGCCGCAGAGCAGGCAGCACTAGGGAAGCTCAGCGGTGGCGGGAGCTGGATAAAGGGAGCAGGATTTGGGAACTCAGGATCCGTATCAAAAGCAGGAGGTCAAATGGAGTCCTCCCTGGACTGTGGCCATTGCAGAAAAGGGACAGAAACTCTCATGATCACGCAATTTATACTAAATATGACATCTATGGAATGGAACACTCTTGTTGGTCACCTGTCCTGTCTATTACCCCCCGGAGGTGCAACCTTTTACTTCCTTGTGACCCCTTTTACTACCCGGCACCCCCAGCGTGGCACACAAGAGCCAGCAGTGGCCTTGGTCACTGTAGGAATAAGTACCAGCCAGAGCTGTTCTGCATCCCAGTCCCAGGCAGTAACTGTAAACATCAGGTGTTACCACTGCCAGTAGCACACACTGTCTGCAAAAACATGCTGCTGACTTCAGAACGTGCAGCCTTTGAGAAGTGACTAAACTGGAATTTAAAAATCACTGAAGAGAATTCGGCTTTTTAGCTCAAACCAAGACAGACAAGGTAGGGCAAGAGTTACATGAATGAGACAAGAAAGTGGAATAAATTGTACTTGGGAAGTTTAATTGGACATCAAAGAAAATTTTCTTTTGTTTTAATTGGATTATGAGGTATTGGAATAGACTGAGGAGACTGCGTGGTCTCTATGAAGGGAGATCTTTTAAAATGTGAAAGAAAAATTTATGGTTAATGAAGTATCGCTGATCCTGTAATGGAAAAGGAGACAGTATTTTGAGAGATGCTGTCCTATTTTCAGTGCCTCTTTAAAGAGCCTGATACATCTCCCTTCAAGTATTCAGTGGCTTTAGCATTTTCTTTCAACTCTCTTAGTTTCTCTTTTTTCTTGTTACTGCTTGTCCATACAGCTGTTGTGGCCATTAGACTTCAGTTGCGTAGGATGTGTTCCCCCTGTGAATATTCAAAACCTTTTTTATTGTGTATATTATGAAGTCAAAGAATGGTTGATGAGAGAAGTTCAGCCTCCTGTTCTGAGCAGGGCTGTGCCAGCATTATGTCATCAGCTTGTGGATTTCTCCAGTTTAGTCTTGAAATCTCCTGTCTTGGTTGTGAAAACCTCATCTTTGGATAAACTGTTTCCGTGCTATTCTGTGTAGAGAGAAGGTTTGTCCTAAGAACAAATCATGACTTGGAATGGATTTATCGAACATGCTGAATTACTTGGTGCTGCTGAGATTTTGTTGTTGATGTCTACGTTGTTCCTTTTGAAATAGTTGCAGTTTGCTGGTAGGTGATTGCTGGCTTGATCTTTGCCTGTGTGTCAGTTGGGTCCCTAAATATCCGGTACAGTCTGTTAATGTCGTGGCTCTTGCAGAGGCAAATGTTGCTGCATATATCTGTGCTTATGTCTTATCAGTTTGAATGAGGATGTGCATATGTTTGTTACATTATTTGGCTGTGTGTTTGTTTGAAATGTAATGATCTTAATTTGGCTCTTATTATTCTTAGGAAGTTGCTGGACCCACGTGTCTTTCTCTTTATGCCAGCTCACCAAAAGTATGTAGTATGTAGTAACAGAACATCACCAAGTCTTTGCAGCTGGCACGGAGCTCCCTTGAAATCTTGAAGTCTCTAAAATTGATCAGTATTTATTATTTTGTTTGGATTCTCTGACTGGATGGATTCATAAAGTCCAAAGTTAGTCACCTTAACTGGTCTGCTCTTTTAACATCTCTTCTGTCCTGGGCTGTTATCCCCAGCCTGGATCCCTGGCATGAATGCAGCCTTAATTGCATGCTTTAGGCTTTGGATACGAATGCGTGCATCCTGGATATCTTTGGAGCTTGAAGCATTTTCAGAGAATTCCAGCTTTTGTGAGACTACATGTGATTATTTAGAATCACTAACACTGGCGCCAAACGACCTGGACAAAGCACCTTGTCACAGATTTGGGGAAAGTCTGTGCTTTCTCCTCATGCTTCTTGCACTTCACCGTTCCCATGTCAGGCCACCAGACGGGATCCCAAAGAACAGACAAGAATGGAGAGTAAACCACTGTTTGTCTTTTAGAAGATTTTACTTTATTTTTGGGACCAAGTTGGAACCTTTGAAATCAGGGGTCATATAGTTGTTGACATAGATTTATCAAACCCCAAGAGAATGTTTTGGTACATGAAAATACTTGGCATATTTTTATCTATTTTTATGATATATGACCTCATTAAACTAAGCTGAATGTTATTGCAGTAACTCTTAGGGGTCTGTCCTTCCCCTGCCTAGAGGCCCCCCCCCCCCCTTTTTTTTTTTTAAATTGTATCAGTTTTGTAGTGAAAGCTGAATACTAGTTTGTACTAAAGTTCAACCTTCTAGGTGCTTTTGCATGTGATTATGTCACTCTTTGAATGGCCAGTTAATTTTATAATAATTAGTTTCTAGTTGAAGATTAAATATAATGAAATTTTGGCAATTTTTTTTTCCTATCCTGAATGATTCAGTTATTAGAAGACTAAGCATTCCAAGAAATCTTCCATCTAGGCATAGTAACTGGCACGTTGTACAAAAACTGCTTCAGGAAAGTATTTTGCAATTAAACTTTAAAACTAATATTAAAACATTGCTTCATGGAAAAGCCTTTTAAGCACTTTTGGCAACTTCTGTGTGAAGTCACTGTGGTGCTAGAGGTAACAGAACTACCTATGAACTTGGTAACTAGCTTGTTTGTAATATTTCAGTTTATGTGGTGGAACCAAAGAGATAAGAAGTGTATTGAGCTCTTTTTGCTGCATGTGTGCATTTCCATAACATTGTAGCTTATCATATTAGCTCTTTTAGAAACTCAGAAGGGGATGATGAAGCAGTCTTTGAATACTAGGCGAAGGAGCACTTGATCTGAAGATTCTTGAGTTTTGCTTTAGAGTGGACTTCTCATATTTGAAAGAGTTTAGAAAGAAAAGTGAAAAAATGCTAATATACTTAATATAATTTTGAGGAAATGAGGTCGTGAAAATGTCCTGAGTCTAAGTGTCTGTGTTATGTCCCACTGGGTTACTTCTGAAATATGATCTTGAATGTGAAAAGGTGTTTGAGTTAACACTGATGTGGAGGAAACAGTACTTGCCTCTCACCCCAAAGTTTGGGAGAAACTTATATTTTAGAGCAAGGGGAGATCTTAGGGCACAAGGAATTATTATTGTCTAGTCTGCAATCTTGCATGATGTTGTCAGTTATCTATGTGTCAAACCTAGGAGTTTTTCAGCCACATCATAATTTTTTGATGGGTTTATATGATGTAAATGCAAAATTTAAAATATGAAGTCTAATCAGTCATAAGTACGAAAAGAATTTCCTGTGGTGCTTAATGAAAGGTGAAAGACTGAATAGGAAAGAAAGAGGTACATAAATGTTGTGTTGTGAACAAGTGACTAAATTTGGCACACATTTGTTTTGTATTGTCTTCTGAAATAGCACAACAAAGGTTTTTCTGCATTGTTTTAAAGAAACTTGCTTGTGCAGTTAACTGTATCCGACAGCATTGGTATCTAAATCCTTTTGACCGAGAACCGTGTCTTCTAAATACACCGTGCGTTTGCCTCTATCACCTCATTTCAAAGGAATTCCTACTTGTTTCTTTCAGTATCTTACAGTTAACTAAAAATGAGAATGTATTAAATCTATCTAGTAAATATTGGAAAAAATTCTATTCTAGAATGCCTTTTGAAGTAAACTTGTAACTTACACTTGTGAGCACAAGCCAAGATCTAAATAGACATTGTGGTATGAAGGACTAACATAAAAATTATGCATGTGCGAGTCTGGAAAGGGAATTTATTCCCACTTATTTCTATTACTGTTAATAGTCATAGTTTACTGTCTTGATTCATGAAAGCATTGTCTTTTTAAGCTGTAGTATATTTTTAGATTGCGAGGTCTTTTTGTTTTTTCGTTTATTTTTATACCCCTTCCCTTCTTTCTCCTCCCTGACCCCCACCTCCAAGCTATGGGACAAAAGGTACTTTTGCATTTGTTTTCTGATCAGTGTAGCAACATCTGTAGCTAAGCTGCCCAGTACTTGCATTTCAGTGGCTTAACTCTGGATTAAAATTTTGTGTTGATTGTAAGCCTAAGGCTGAATTTATGAGAGAGGCTTTTAGCTAAAATTACTCAGTATATTAGTGAATGAGATGACGAAAACACTTTGAAAAAAAACACCCAACTTGTTTTTACAAGCTGTTTTTATGAGAAAGTCTCTGTCATCTTTTGGAATGGGGCCTTGGAATTAGATGTGACTTTGCATAAGTGTGGCTGAGGTAGGAGTCAAGAGTTTCCTCTGACACGAAACAAGTGTAACTTTTTAAAACTGCATTAATAAAAGCTCATTAAACAAAAAAAACTAATTTGCAAACTTAAGGCTGTACTTTGCAAAAAAAAAAATTAAATAGAGCTGTCATTTTGTGTAGTTGTCTTCTCAGCAGGTTTTATCAGTAGTGAATATATTTCATCTACTCTTAGTTCTTGGATGCAAGATGAACTTTTCCATAGTACCAGTAGGAAGACTGAGGAAGTATTAGCTGCAGAAGGGAGAGCGTGTTTCTTAAAATTACTCCTAGAAGCAGTTGCTGTCGCTGTGACAGTGCTAGGTGTTTGTGCATAAGAATAGTTGACTTCTCTTTTGGGTGACTAGAGGCTGTCTCAGGATGCTCATCTGGTGCAGTTGCAGTGGTGGTTATTTCAGCTCTGAACTTAGGACATGATAACTGCTCAGAAAAATAAACATTTTTTTTATAATCATGGAATTGTAGAATGTTTTGGGATGGAAGGGACCTTTGAAGAACTAGATGACGTGCAGCGAGCAGGGACATTTTTAGCTAGATCTGTTAACGATCTAACAGTCCAACCTGGCCTTGAATGTTTCCAGGGATGGGGCTTCTGTCGCCTCTCTGGGCAACATGTTCCAGTGTTTTGCCACCCTCACAGTACAGAATTTCTTCCTTTTATCTAATCTAAATCTTCCCTCTTTCAGTTAAAAATTGTAACCCCTTGTCCTATTGTGATAAAGAGTCCCTCCCCAGCTTCCCTGTAGGCCTCCTTTAAGTATGGGAAGGCTGCTATAAGGTCTCTGCGGAGCCTTCTCTTCTCCAGGCCAAACAGACCCGACTCTCTCAGCCTGTCCTCGTAGGAGAGGTCCTCCAGCCTCTGATCATCTTCATGGCCTCCTTTAGACTAACTCCAGCAGGTCAATGTCTTTCTTGTGCTGAGGACTCCAGACCTGGACCTGCAGGTGGGGTCTCACTAGAGTGGAGCAGAAGGGCAGAATTATTTCCCCTGACCTGTCCCTCATTTCCTGCAGAGTCCCTGTGTTGTGGCAGCTGGCTCGCTGGCGCTTGCTGAGGTGTGATCTGTGCATTGTTAGGAGCTCTGGACACACGTCCAGCAGCTTATAAAGCTGTGTGACATCCATGTTTGGACTTGGTGTGGAGCAGTCGGGTTTTGCCAATGAAGAACTTAATAACTTCATGTTTGCTGAGCGGTTTAATGTGAACAGGGCAACAACAGGCCAATAATAAGAACACCAAGCTCTTACAGCTCAATATACTAAAATGGTTTGAAAGAAATTGCCTTGCTGTGACCTTGTCAATGTTTGTTTATTTCCAGATTTATGCTCTTCAAAATAATGTGTGTTGCATATCGGCTTAAGTATTCACTTTCACCTGCTTAATTTCTACTTGTCCCTTGAATAGTGACATATTTTGCAATAGCTTCATGGGAGAGGTGGTTTGAAACCGTCTTTTATTATCAAGGACATGATAATTCAAATATCTCCTTTGAATTGTAATGTACTAATTGTACATTATTGTATTACATTTATTATGTGCAATATATACACATGTATATATTACGTATAGGCTAATTGTAATGTAAATGTGCAAGCAATTATAAAGCCAGTTGCCATGCGCCATGGTGCACTGCTAATTTTGGGAGGGAGAATAAATTTTGACTGAAGTTTTGTACTGAAATCATACTACTTTATGTGTCTTGAATTTTGACATGTTTCAGTAGTTAATTCACCGCTCTTGTTTTTGTTAGGAGCTGAAACTACCATTTACTTTTCTAAGTGGGCATATTCATGAACTTCGGATTCATGTGCCATGGACAAAATTGGGATCAGAACCAGTTGTCATCACTATCAATACAATGGAATGCATCTTGAAATTAAAGGATGGAGCTCAGGTAAGAGGTGATGAATAATTTTCTAGCATTGAGAAAGTCAGTAAGAGTAATTGATTCTATAGATCACTTTAAAGTTGTTTCAAAAATCAGGCATGGGAGGTTGTGGTCCCTGTTATTTTGTGAGAGACTAGTATATTTCTTTCCTCTAATTTTTAATTCTTTGTTAGCTGTAGCTGTGTTCTTGCAGATATGAAAGCATGTTCACAGTGCTCTGCCAGATTTTTTCCTATGACTAGACAAGCAATGGATTTTAAGAACCATATAGCATCGCACGTGCTTCCAGCTTCTCCCTCCCAAGAATCAGTGCTGGTGGCCTGATACAGTTGTGTGTCGCACCACTAAGCACTGGGCATTTTGCAAAGGATGTGTTATTCCTGAAGGAGTGCTTTAAAGATGCTCGAGTGTAATTCTGTTGCCTTTAGAAGTTAGAGTACTCGCTTGAGTGTACTTGGAGGGCTTCTTACGTGTAATGGTCAAAGAGCTTTTTGTTTAGGTGCTCACAATAAGTTGTCCATTAGTGCCATTTCACAGGCTCAGGACAGATTTTTCTTTGGAGGCAAGGAAGTTGAAATATGCAGTGGCTCAACTTTGTATGTCTAATTTATTAACATACCTAAGTACTTCTTGTTAACTGTTGAACTTGTTCTTTTAGTCAATGTGGTGCTTTAACTATAGAGAGGTTTTGTGGTTTGTTTGTTTGTTTAAAACCTTGTTCATATTTCAATTTCAACATAGTCTTGCAGTTTTATTAAGGATCATGCAAAAGAAAATTCCAATTTGTGCAAAGCTCTTGAGTGTTTGGCAGGGTGCTTGATGAGCTGTTGACAGTTGACACAAGTAATTAGCTGTAAGCCAGTGAGAACATTGGAAAACACTTTTACATTGTGTTTGTTTCATGCAATCGTCTTTTATAGTTCCAGAGCTAAAAGACTTTTGTTGCTGGAGTAGAAATCTCTGGTCCTAGGTATGCCACCCACAAATCAAATGCTTACAATCTGTAGTTACACTTAATCTACGTGCACATGAGCATATATGCACGTGTATGCACACCAACAGCCAAATGCTAAGTACTTTTCCAATGTTAAGGTAAGATTTCAAGACCAGATGTTCCATGAGAAATGTGTTTTAGAAGCAGCAAATTGCGACTAATTATAGAATTTGCAGGAAAAGATTTGTAGCCCGTGACTTCTTGCAACCCGGAACTAATATTTGATATTGGACCATGCAGATGGCTACTGCTGGAATGATCAGATTTCCTGCTTGCATGGTATTTGAAACTGAAATTTTGTGGTGCATACAGCCAAAGGTCAAGTGTCACGAATGTAAAGCACTCTCAAAACAAGTATTTGTTACAGATGTTTAAGATTCAGAGGCAAGAAAGGATTTTTGAAAATTGCAACTGACATTTGAACAAATTACTCAGTGGTATGTACACTCAGGAGGGTAAAATCTGGGTGTGTGCCATAGAAGGATTATCTTTGACTAACAAGAATGTAAATGAAAACACTTTTATGCTGTTTTCTGAGGATATGGTTAAAAAAAATGACAGTTTGAATTTTATTTCTTATATTGCTATTTGAAAGTGTTTTATAAAAAGAAAATGTTTTGACATTCTTGTGTTCTAGCTTCCAGTGTGACAGTGTGCTTGGCTAAAGCCAATTGTCATAAAAATCTTTGCAATTAGTGAATAAAACACCTGAATGAAACTATTTCTGTGGAAAATGAACTTTCAGTGAATTTATCTCCAGCTGGAACTCTTCTGCCAAGAACTTCCTGTCAGTAAAGAGCATAATTAGCAAAAAAGTTTAGTTCTGTTCTTACAAATATAGGTGTGATCCTGCATTTTCTTCAGATGAAACCTCTAATGAACACAAGTGTAATTTCATCTGAGCAAAAAATGAAGTTTCTCACCTCAAGTTAGCGCGATGTGTATTCTTTGGAAAGAGGCTATTTCAAAGAATGTTTGTTTCGAAGATGTGTGTGGGTTAAAATAAAGGCTGTTATTTGAAGCTATTGTCCAGTGGACAATAATTTTTGTAAGCAAAACCCCTCTCTTTTATGTTTTTGGAAGAATGTTAGCCCCTTTGTGAGTCTTTTGTACATGTAGTCCTGTGTCACTGTTAGTTTAGTTTCAGCGTTAGTTTGGTTGTGGTTTGAATTGTTGATGCGACTGCAGCCTCTTCTCAGCTGAGATCAACGTTTGGAGTAGTGGCTCAACTTCCAGTTTCATGCTAATGATCTCATTTTCTAAGCGGAAATATTGTATAAGTGGTAACTTCACCCAGTGATACACAAAATTCATGGTGTAGAACTGGTCATATTTCAGGAGAATTTAGAAATTTGAGCAACTCGAAGGTCACTGCTTTTCCTCTCTTTTCTGTGCTTTTCTTCCCTCTCTACAGGTGATATTACCACTTCTTTGGAAGAATGTTAGATAAATATGGTTACTTTATAAAAGCAAATTGAAACTTAAGTGCATCAGGAACAGAACTTTGCAGTGATTAAAGTGGTGCTCTGTTGGACATGCTTTGTATGTGCTCTTCTGGTTATGAGTTTAGTTAATGACAATAATTGAAGTAGAAACTGTGTGTGAGGCATTTTGCATTGCTTTTTGATGTCTGTCAGCTTAAGGCAACTATGCCTGTTTTTTTTTCACTCCTGAGCGTAATTTTCTGCAGCACTTAAAGTATGACTTTTTATAGTGTTATCAAATTAATGAAAATATGTTGGCAAGTAGTTTGAAATGCATTTACTTAAATGTGGTTCTGAGTTCATTTGACTTAAATATAAGTTATGGTAATTGTTTCCTATTAGACTGTTTTTCATGAATGTTATATATTGTTTTAGAGGGTGATTAAAGTTCCAGTATTATTCTCATTACTTATCTCTGTATATAAAATCTCAGGACTTTTATCTAGAATTTAAATCCACTTGCTAAACCTCTGTAAATGCCGTTTTTTCCTCCTAGATTTTTTTTTTTTCTGTCTTTGTACTGTTGGAGCCTTCTTGACTTTTTTCTTTTCCACCCAAATTATATATATATTTTAGTAAGCTATTTGAAACTCTTTGCTCATTTTTCTTTCCTTCTTTATGCTACAATACCTCTGTGCTTGAACCAGAGGTTTTAAATTCAGACCATGCAAAATTGGAAGGACAAGCCTGTGTCTGTTTCCTTCACCTTCCTGACATTATAACTAACCGCAAGACTAATCTTATTTATGTTCAACCTTGAGTGCTGTGGTTTTTAGTCTTGGAACTGATGCAAATCAGGAGATTCAAGGAGAAATGTAATATCTGTATTACTCCTTCACTTTTGAGTCCTTGCCTTTAATCAGGATGTAGTGCATCATGAATACGCTGACGTGGATGTAGACGAAAACTCTCTCTACCCCAAGGATAACTATGGAGATAATTATGGCATCAGGGAGCACTGTTAGGTACAAGCACTTAGAGGGGCACAGGGAAACCAAGTAGTTTGGGTCAGCGTACAGGCAATTAAGCACTGTTTCTTTTCTGAGGCATTACAAAGAAGGTTTTGAAGTAATGTAATAACTTTGTGGAAACAGTGGAGAACAGCCCACAAACACGACTGTCGGAATAGCAGACACGTATTCTTATCTGACAATCAGTAAAGGCTGCCCTCAAAGAATGCTGAAAGCGGAAATTGATCCTGACTGGGAAATGATGGCAATGGTAGATAGGGTGTGCAGACACGTTATGAAGGACTTTGAAGGTGAAGACAGAAGGCTTGTGTTTGAGGGTATAGTCAGATAAAGGTCTTGCTTAGGTGGTAAAGCTGGCTCCAGGTCTGAAGCAGTGCTTTGCTCTTTTTCTCCTTCTCACCTGCATTGCAGTCGTTCAACTGAATGTGGTCGTATGAGCAAGTGGTGCTGTTTTTCCTGTTTGAGTGTATACACATGCAGTTTAGTGACAGCAAAAATATGGTGAGATGTCAAAGTCAGAGGACTAACAGTCTTTAGTGGCCCACTTTTCTGCTCTTTGTTTGGTTGTGTAGAAACTCAAAGTCCTTTTTAAAATATTTTAGTTTGATCCTTACTTTCATAGTGGTATCTTTAGTTCTGTAAATCTGATACTGAGTTTTAACACTTCTATACAAAGTTTAAGTTGAGGTCTCTTCCAGCCCTGACATTCTGTGATTCTGTGAACATTATATCAAGAACTGCCCTACTTGAAGCAAACTGTGTCATCATTGTTGAATCATAAGCTTGGATTAATGATGAATATGAAATTCATGGTTAAGCAGCCAGTTCATGCTGCTTTTTTATGTGCTGTAACAGGGGGATTTTATCTGTTTCTATCTACATACAAATATGTATAGCAAGAACAGTTTTCTGTATTAGCTTTAATTTAAACAAATTCCTTTGTGTAAATCAGACTTTAAACAGTTTGATCTTTTCCAAAGGTTCAGGAAGCTTTGGCAGAGAGGCTTTGGTTGGGTTTTTTTGCCATTGTCTGTCAAGATCTCCAGTCTGAAGCATTCTTACCTTTTTTGTGCGTTTTTTGATGTGAAAAAGTAGTAGATTCTCTTTCAAGGGTATTATCTTTCTAAGGGAGAAATGCCATGTCCCACAAGTCTCTTGCAAAAACATTTAGTAAACTTACTTTTTCAGTGGATGAAGGAGTTAAAGGCAGGCTGCAACAGCTGCTAGAAAAGGCCTTGCAGCATGATTTTGTTCAGATACTTGTCTTTGTACTTCCACTGTTTTCACATGAGTGGCTGAAGAGGGGATCTCGAACAGCTTTGCTTAAAGCTGGATTAATATTCATATGCTCCAGCTGGGCAAGAAGGAGTGACGGTGTAATTTAACTATTTGTTTTCTACTAAGCACTTCCATATAAAAAGACCTTAAAAGCAAGGTACCTGATGTTTTAGATTGCAGTAATTCTGCTTGCAAAAGAAGAAATTGCCCTTGTGAATTTGTTCAAAGACACCTGTACAAGTCCTTCCATTGCCATTGCGTTGCCTCAGCCTTGAATAG